TCTCCTCCCTCAGCACCCTGTCATATGCTTTTTCTAAATCCACAGACACAATGGGGTTCTTTCTGGCCCTCTCTGTACTTTTCCATCAGAATCTTCAAAGCAAAGAGACTAACCTATATAAATAAAGGTTGAATGAATGGAAAAGATGGCATCTGTGGTGTTCTTTCATGAAACCATACTGCTGCTCGCAGAGTCACCTCTCGTCCAAGTCTAGCTTTCACAACACTCTCCCAGATCTTCAATGTGTGACTCATCAACATAATTCTCGTGTAGTTGCTACAACTCTGTACATCATCCTTGTTCTTTAAAATGGGCACAAGCACACTTCTAGATTTGCACAGTTCTAGATTTGCGCCGCTCATCGTGGCTTCATGTTGAAGTAGCAGTTATTTTAATTTTGGGATATTGCTTTTGATAACTTTATTTCCACTTTTTCTGTATATAAAATACTTATTTTGGATGATTACTTCCTCTGGTATTGGATGCTGTGCAGCTGGAAGGATTTTTACTGAAACCTTTTTACGTTTGGACATTTGTTATGAAGCGTAACCATGACAACAAGGTGGTTTTTACAACCGAGCTGATTAACATCTCTAAGCTCAAATATTATCTCAAGTACAGCCCCAAATCTCAAATGAGTTGTAAAGGAGGGGCCGTGGATGCATCTCCGTCTACCTGTTGGAGGTTCTCGAGTGACTGCCTGTTGAGATCCTTGGAGCTGGCAGGAAACATGGCTCATGACAACAAGAAGACCAGGATCATCCCCTGACACCTGCAGTTGGCCGTCTGCATGATGAAGAGCTCAACAAGCTGCTGGGAGGAGTGAACATCACTCAGGGAGGAGTTCTGCCCAACATTCAGGTGGTCCTGCTGCCCAGGAGGACCGAGAGGACCGCTGGGTCCGGGTAGACAAATTGGCATCTGCAGCCAGTTTCTTCAGATCCACTGTGGTACAGACTGCTGCAGGACAGACGGCTATGGGAGATCTTTCCTGCCCACAGCTATCAGCATTTATAATAACTCTTAATGAAACCAGGATGATGAGTTACAACATTTAATTTCCCTTTGGGATTAATAAAGTATTTTGAATTGAATTGAATTCTTTTCCATTCCTTAGGCATTTTTTCACTCTCAAATATGCCATTGAATATTTGAGTCTAAAACCTCACTTCCATCTCTTCAAGACATTTCCAAACATCCGATGACTGGTATGTCGTCAGGTCCTGCTGCCTTCCCCCTTTTCATTCTTTTCAGAGCTTTCCGGACTTCACCTTCACTAATCTTGACCACTTCCTGGTCCACAGTTTCTGTGGCCTACTCTTCTTTCTCTTTAATTCCCTTCATTCATTAGCTCCTCAAATTACTCCTTCCATCTTCCCATCACACTCTCCTCACTTGTTAGAACATTATTATTCCTATCTTTAACAAGCCTAACACTGATGCACTTTACAGGAAGGGTCAGAGCAGACTCTACCTGCTGAGGAGACAGGGCTTTTGGAGTGCTCGGGGTGCTCCTGAAGACCTTTTTTGACTCGGTAGTAGCATTAGCCATCGTCTATGGTGTTGTTTGTTGGAGCAACAGCTTATCATCAGCTGAGAAGAAGCCGCTAGGTAAGTTCATCAAGCAGGCCAGCTCTGTGCTTGGATACCCCCTCAACCCAGTGCAGGTGGTGGGAGACAGAAGGACTCTAGCTAAAATAATAAAATTGCTGAACAGCGTCTCCCACCCCATGCATGAAGCTGTTGCTGAATTGGAGAGCTCCTTCAGTGACAGATTCTTCATCTTAAATGCACAAAGGAGCGTTACCGCAGATCCTTCCTCCCAGCAGCTGTTAGACTTTATAAGCATCACTGCTTTCAACAAACTCAATAAGTATTAAATACATGCTGACCTCTGCTAAAATGCACACTCTGCCTATAATACTGTACTGTAAATAGTCCGTCATTCTCATTGTTCCAATACATATTGAACATTATTATTGATATTCCATCCATCCATTATCTTCTACGCGCTTCTTCCATTTTCGGTCACGGGGGTTGTCGGTGCCCATGTCCAGCAATCATAGTGCGAGGGGCAGATTACACCCTGGACAGGTCTCCAGTCCATCACAGGGACACATAGAGACAAATGAGACAAACAACCATTCACCCTCTCACTCACACCTAGAGACAATTTAGAGTCACCAATCAGTCTAACATGCATGTTTTTGGCCTGTGGGTGGAAACCGGAGTACCTGGAGAAAACCCACGCATGCACGGAGAGAACATTCAAACTCCTCCCAGAAAGACCCCCAGACCAGAGGTTTGAACCAGGGACCTGCTCACTGAGAGGCAGCAGCTCTACCAGTTGCGCCACCATGCTGCCTATTATTGATATTGTTTATCTTATTTCTTTATATATTGTTTTTTATTTATTCGTACTGTATATTGTTTTTAACATTTTATGAACTTTTTTGTGACTCTTTTTATCTTGCTGCTGTTGCTACTGTTACACTTGAATTTCCCATCCATGGGACAATAAAGGCTGTTTCTATTCTATTCTAACCTGCTGCACATCCTTTCCAGCCTGATCCTTCTGTCTCACCAATCAATACAAGTCCTTCTCACCCTCTTTAGTGTCCAGCCTCCCATACAACTCATCATATGCCTTATGATTTGCCTTTGCTACCTCTCTCTTTGATGTACATTGCATTTTCTTTATATTCCTGTCTCCTCCCTTCAGTCCCCTTACTGTCATATTTCTTCTTGGCTAACCATTTTCATCGAATAGCTTCCTGCACTTCACTATTTCACCACCAGGTTTCCTTATCATCCATTCTCTGTCCAGATGACACACCAAGTACCTTCCTACCTGTCTCTCTAATTACTGTTGCTGAAGTAGCCCAGTCATTTGGAAGCTCCTCCCCTTCCCCCGAGCTTTTAACAGCTCCTTTCTGAATTTCTCACAACATTCTTCCTTCTTCATCTTCCACCATTTGGTCTTCTTCTCTGATTTTACTTTTTTTTCTCTTCTTCACAACAACAGTCATTCTACATACAAACATCCAATGCTGTCTGGCCACGCTCTCCCCTGCCACAACCTTACAGTCTCCAATCTCCCTCAGGTTTCCTCTTCTGCACAGAATGTAGTTGACCTCTTCTGTCGTACTCCTTCCTCCATTCTTACAGGTCACTTTATGTTCCTCCCTTTTTGGGAAATAAGTGGTGACTACAGCCATTTCCATTCTCTTGGTAAAATCCACCACCATCTGTCCTTCCTGGTTTCTTTCCTTGACACCAAACCTACCTATCACTTCCTCATCCTCTGTTTCTTTCACCAACATGTCCATTCAGGTCTGCTCTGATCACCACTCTCTCTCCTCCCTGGTGTAGTGTAACATATCATGAGATATATTATACATTAAACGGGTTCATTCATTTTTCTGGACTGAATGATGTCGTGCATTGAATTTAAATAAAATGTGGACGTGAGACGTTAATTATCTTTGACTCACCACAACAGTGGGTCATTTATTAACAGAATCAAGTTTAACACATCACACATTTACATTAATTGGCAAGAATTGAAAATAACGACATAATTAATCAGCTTTACAGGAGTGAGAACAATACGGCGATTGTTTCCTCACTTTCAGCAGACAGCAGACATCAAATCACACGGCGGTGATTGAAAACTTTGCTTCAGACATTTCTAAAATATCTGTAATGATTTTTAGCAGATAGGAAAATTTTAAGATGGAAAGATGAGGTTTATCTACAGAGAGATGTGTGAGGGAATTTGTCTGTCTTAACCAGAACCGACACGCTCCTTCTTTTCCAGCTTGGGCCAACGGTACGCTTGGTTGAGAATAGAACTTTTTACCTTGCAGACGATAGTTCAGCGTTGGTGTAGAGCTCTCCTTTCAACTCTTTCAGCGTCTCCGTGAGAACAGCTCGAACCTCGAGAGTCGTGTGAGGTTATCCAAACAGAAGTTATAATTCCCAAAATCGTCTCTGGATCAGCTTGATTCTAATTCAGCAGCATCCTGAATTCCAGCGTTCTGCATTCTGGAACTCCCAAACTCTCCGTTTGAACTAGGAAGTGCCAACATTTAAATGGGCTCTACTTCCGGTTCATTTGAGAGCCTCTGATTGGTCGATGGACCCCAACAGAGGTGTGTTTTGTGATGTAAGGTGTTATTAAAAGTCAAGGAAAAGATTCAGATTGTTTAAGAACAGACAGAAAGATATCATGGAAAAACCAGACTTCGTGGAGTCTCCTCTCCCAGTATCTCGCTGTAAAAGTTAAACATGACATTTCTTTTCAGTAAACTTTCAGTTGACCGAAACTTGAACTTTGACACACTTACAAACTTTGCTCATTGAAGACAGAAAATCAAGAAATGCATATTAACCTGATTTCTTCTTTGAATGAGGATTAAAAATCATTCTTCCTGTTTTAAGTAAATAAAAATGAGTAGTTCACTTCAACATGTAAACATTGTTTGAACTAACACAATTTGATTATCAAAACATTTGTAAAATAGTAATGATCATAGAGAATTGTCTTTTTCCACTTGATTAATTCAAGAAAGAAAGTCTCAGGATGGGTCAACCTGTATCTCTGGATGCAAATCAATGAAATGACAGTTTCTGACCATATGATCCTAAGGTCAAGTTTTGACATCAGGTCAAGTTCACTACACTGGCAATACTCTCCATCACTTCATCCAGATCTATCCAAAATGTATCATTCTCCTTCACATCACATCCAACCTGTGGAGCATAACTACTGACAACATTTAGCATCAGACCTTCTACTTCTACCTTCAGGCACATCACCCTATCTCTTTTCACCTCTACTACATTCATTGCCAACTCCTCCTTCAGGACCACCCCTACTCCATTTCTCTTTTTATCCACACCATGGTAAAACAGTTTGAAACCTGATCCAGTGCTGCGAGCCTTTGCTGCCCTTCCACTGACCACAACAGGATGACACATGTTTTGTGGAATTGTAGAGTCCAGAGCTACACATCACCACCTGGTAATGAGTTGGATCAGACGGCATGTGTGTGTGAGCAGATTTTTAATTTAGGAAGAAATGTTTCCACTGTATTTGTAGGTTAACGGACGAGAAGTCGGACAGAGTCCAAGAGTGTTGCAAGAGGAGCTACAAGCGGCCAGTGGGATTGTGGTACTGAAAATACTGCCCAGCTACCTTGACACCTTCCCACCAAGACAGGTCTCTCACACACACACAAACACACACACACACACACACACACACACACACTCCGTACTTGGTTACTAAGCACAAAAAAGTGGTAAAACCACTTTTCCATGCCAAACATTAGGTGTATTAATTATGAATTAATTATGTTTCAGTATTCTACCAAGCCTCTGAGTGTGTGTGTGTTTACAGTAGTATCAAAATACACAAGTACATTTTGGAATGCATTTGCTTCACAATTGGCGCACTGACATCAGAACAGCTTCTCACACGCTGTCACTCTCTTGCACTTGGCTCTAATGGACAGTGTGTCAGACATGTTTTTCACCCTCTCCCTCATAATGGAGCACACTGTATAAAGCTCGTCCTCTTTTCACCTGTGGACATGTTTTTTGAATGTGCAGATTCTGCTGGACATATTTTCACCTTTTTGTATACTTAATTGGAAGCATGTCAGGAGAGGTGTCTCATGTGCTTTCTCGTGCACTCTGACCTAGATGTACAAAGGAAATGTGCTCGGGTGCACATGTATGCGAACATTTTAATGTGAATTTTTATGCGTGTGAGCTGTTATTCTTGATTTGTGTACACCATGTTTCAGTAGGAAATCCTCACACATCTTTGTTACATATGGTCCATGGTTTCTAAACGTTTCTTTCAAGGTATCCTGATGCATGCTCAATAATCCAGGTAGAAAAATGTAAAAAAGTTAAGTCTGGTCCTCTGGACATTCAAAAAACAAAACAAAGCAAAACAAACAATAACAAAAAATGTAGAAACGTTTCGTCTTTCATCCGAAAGACTTCTTCAGTCTGAGGTGCTGCATTCAGCTCAGTCTTATAAATAGCACCTTCTCGTAGTGGATCACTTTCTTTCAAGGGTACTTTATGATTGGAAATGCCATAAAACTTTTTCAGACACTGAATAAAATGTTGAGTCAAGAATGACCAGGGTAATAAAGACACATTTGTATTGATTCTTTGCCAGGTTTTCTTCAAATGTCATTATGACTATGATCCAGCCAATGACAACCTGATTCCATGTAAAGAGGCGGGTTTAAGGTTTGAAACGGGAGACATCCTGCAGATAGTCAACCAGGACGATGTCAACTGGTGGCAGGTAACAGCGACAACATGTGGAGATACAGGACTACATACTAGTAGCACCAGTAGTACATACACGTGTGGCATTTTTGATTTGTTGGTTATAAAGTAAGGTAGTAACCCATATAAACTGTTATTATAAGTAAAAAAGACACGAAGAACACTTAAGATGTCCAATGTTTACTTTTGTTTTGTACATAAATCCATATCCATGTGTTGTGCAGGCCTGTCATGTGGAAGGTGGGAGTGCTGGTCTTATCCCCAGTCAGATGTTGGAGGAGAAGAGGAAAGCTTTTGTTAAAAGAGACGTTGAGCTGGCACCTGCAGGTAAGAAGATGGAGATGGTGGCCAGATGAATAAATCTTTGCTGACATTTACTGGTAACATTCCACCTCTGCAAATATGTTTGTTGGGGGAGCTAATGTTTTTTAGAAAAATCAAGTAAACAGTTTTTAAGTTTTAAAATTGGGAAGAGACCCCGGGGAAGAGCCAGAACCTGCTGGAGAGGCTCTTTCTCAGATGGCCTGGGAAGGCCCTGTGGTCCTCCCAGAAGAGCTTTAAGAGGTGGCTGGAGATGTCTGGGCGTTCCAGCTTTAGCTGCTGCGCCCTCAACCTGACTCCAGAGCAAGCAGAAGATGATGGATGGGTGGATAGAAGTTTCAAAATTGCCAGAATTGTGGATTTGGAGGGATTTAATGCCGAATTTTGTTATTATCTACAACAATGATGCCTGTAGACTTAATATGTATGTAGAGTTAAAAAGAAAGTTGCAGACAATACTTTCCAGAAATATGAGCGTTCTGATTAATCTGCCCTAAAGCAACCATCAGTTATTATTAATAATAATAATAATTATTATTATTATTATTATTATTATTATTATTATTATTATTATAAACAGTGCATTTAATACCACTGTTTTGTGAATGAAGCTTGTAATGGTTTGGTGTCTCATGGGCTGCAGGAGGGTTAGTATGTACTGGTTTCATTCGTTGCTTTGAACATCACATTTTATCACACTGCAGCTGCAGCTCTTCTTTTATCTGCCAATAACTGAATTTACTTTTGATAAAAGCTCAGTCTTATTTCCTTTCTATATTCTGAGTCCAAATATCTGAAATCAAGCAGCATCTTAATACATGGAGCTCATCTTTCCCGCCAAGCCTCTGAAAACTTGTTTTGTTTTCTTCTGTCAGTTCTGCTGTCTTTGGAGATTAGAAAGTTCTTGCAGTTGTGAAACATCTCCATTCTTCAAACTCTGGAGATGATCAGCCATGCTTTTTGTTTCATCTCACTCATACTACTGTCTGTAACAGCTATTTTATTTGTTTGATTAAGAAGGAGCTTAATTGTCTCCAGTTAGACCAGAATGCTGCTGCAAGACTGTTCAATTCAATTCAGTTTATTTATCTAGCGCCAAATCACAACAAAGTTGTCTCAGGGCACTTTACAGGAACATTCACATAAAAGCCAATTAGTAAAGTTCTCTATCTAAGGAATCCAGCAGACAAGTTGAATCTTGGCTTCGTTGCAGTCTCCCATCCTGAGCAAGCATTGTTAAAAACGAGGTGGCCCACATCTGTTTTAGTCTCTTTACACTGGCCACCAGTACATTTTAGAATTCATTTTAAAATCCGAGTCCTTACCTTGTGAGTCACGTGTGGTCCAGCTCCAGCTACATCTCTCATCATTTAGAATCCAGCATCCCTTCTTCTGTCTGAGGTCTTCTGCTCTGAGGCTGCTGGTAGAGCTGCAGACTAATTTAAAGAACAGAAGAGAGACCTGTTAAAGCTGTGGCTCCTCTGTTAGAGGTCACATTTCCTCCATCTTTATACATTCATTCAGCTGATTCTTTTGAAAAGCACCAAGCATTTAGACATTCGTGTCATTTATACAGACAGGTTTTTAACCAGATATGGACTCATCCACATTTAGTTCAGTCAGCACCACTGATACTTCAAGCTTTTAGCACCAGTGGGTTGAACATTTGCTGGACAAGACACTGACGCAACCTGAGAAGGACATACTTCATGGAAAGGACTGATCGGTAACATTTCTCCACAAGAAGTACCTGCTGTGGAAGAGGTCCAGATGACCTGACTGAAAAATGTTGGATTGTATACCTGGATTATTGAGCATGGACTTTGTTGTTTTCAACCAGTTTGACAAGATTGTCAACAAGGAAGAGGGCCAGCAATGGAGGAGGGGGCGTACCAAAGAGACCATCTTATTACAAGCAGAACTGGTTTGTTCCACTTTGGAGTAAGCTGTCGAGGAAAGAATCAGTTTTGTTGTGTTTCCTTGACTGATGAAGCCTTCTGGACCGAAGGCAAAATGTTTCAGTACAAAAAATAAATTAAAAAAATAAAAAGAAACTGTCCAGATGACCTGACTGAAAAATGTTGGATTACATCACATAAATTTTGATTTTGCAAACAAAGTTCAATATCTGAAACTGGCTCCAAGACAAACACACGTCTTTTGATGACACTTCACTTTTCACTTGTAATCAGGTCACATCAGAAGCAGTGGAAACCTTTAAAATAACTTCAGCAAGAAATTGACCTAAACAGTAGGACCAGTTTCACCCTGGACCAGATCTGTGCCCTGCTAGACCTCTGGCTTTCTTAAATAAATATGTTTTATTATACATAATTGAAATAGCATTTAAAATGCCATTATTAAATGATCCATTCATCCATTGTCTGCTGCTTATTTCTGCGTTGGGTTGAGGGTGCAACACCTTGAGCAGGGAGGCTCTTTCCACAGCCACCCCTTGTAGCTTGTCAAAATACCTTCTCTTCATTCAACCTTTATTTATACAGGCTAGTCTCATTGAGCCACAGGGACTCATTTACAAGAGGGACCTGTTCTTCTCCTTCTTTTCTTCCTTCTCCTTCTTCTTCTCTTTCTCAAGCGAGAATGGACGTCTGTAATAGCACGGTGCTGGGTCTGTCAAAGGTACTATGCAAATCTGGGACGGTGACCCTGAGGCGATTGGTGGAGACGGTCGGACCAGACTTCTCCAACGCCCAGAGGTGGTTTCGTTGCTTGGAGTCCAGTCTGCCAGACTGGTGCAGCACTTCCTGGACGTGGTGAAGAAGAGGATGACAGCTGGAGAGAAGCGTCTCCTGCAGCTATGGTCCACGAGGAATTGCCCACCTGACCCAACGGACCCTTTCCCCGACATCCACCTGCATCCTGACTTTGCAAAAGACAGTGGTCCTCTGCTACGCAACACAGACCCAAAGATGGACTTGTGCAGAACGGGTCCAAAAGTACTTTATAAGACTTAGGTTACGATCCTGAACAAGAGAACTCTGCACAACAGAGCTGTCAGCGTGTGGGACGACAAGCTCGGAGGTCAGAAGCCCCAGTGGAGGACTCTTTACAAACCTCTGACAAAAAAATGGTCTGGCGATCTTCAATGGAGGATCCTTCACGGTGCAGTTCCAACAAACTCTTTTTTGTCGGTCATCAATCCTGAAGTTTTAAACAAGTGTCCTTTCTGCAGTTTGTCTGTGTTTTTCATGTTTTTACAGATTGTGTACGGCTGCTGTTTAATCTAATGACTAGGATCTTTAGTCTTTTTGACACAGTTTTCACCAAATCTTTTTTAATTAATGGAGAACATTTCAGCAAAGCCACTAAATTTAAATCCCAAATTTTAAAGTTTTTAGTGGCCGAAGCAAAATGTCTGTTCACATGTCTCACAGGGACAGACTGCAGGCTGGACCTCAACTTGATGCCGTGGCTCTGTGGAAGTGCAACATCAAGGCCAGACTGGTGTTAGAGTTTTGTTTCCACAGAGACACTGGACACTTGGAGAATTTTGTGAAACTGTGGAGATTTAAGAAGTTTTATTCACCATTTCTGATCAGAGACAACTACAGTACAACAAGCTCCTCATGTAAATATTTTATTTTAAGCTTGTCCTGATCACCTTTTTTGACACGGTTGTGTTAACTTATTGTGTAAATAAAGTTCTGTTAAAAATCAAAATCTTCTCCTCCTCTTCCCTCCTTTAGAGGGAAGCAGCTTAAAGAACAACCTATTTTTATGTTACGTTTTTATTTTCCCTTTTGCCCGTTTTATCTGTTGTGTTTCAACTTATGTGTATTTTTAGCTTTTTTAAGCTCTTTGTGGATCTTATCCTGTAACAGGTTGTCTATGAATAAATAATATGTAGCATCTTTTTTGAAACTGTTTTATATAATACCATGAAGACTTTTCTACTTCAACAGCATCCAGATTATAGCTCGCAGAGTATGTGTAGTATGTATGAATAACATTAAATGTATTGTGTATTCGCTCATTATAAACCTCAATATGAACCTTAAATTTTCACTAAGCCAAAGTTGTTGTTTTTTCTTGCTACAGGGAATCTTTGCACTGGTGCTGGAGGGAAAAAGAAGAAGAAGATGATGTATGTGACGACAAAAAATGCAGGTAACAGAACAATGTCTGCAATTATTGATGCAAAGTTTTTAGCACTTTCTAACCAGTAGAGTCAGGACCTCTGGACAGATTCTTCTTTGTTGAAACGTTTTGTCTTTTATACAAAAACTTCTTCAGTCTGAGCAGCTGCAACAAACTGTCTTATAAGCAGCACCTTCTCATAAGTGGATCAACCGGTTTGCTGGTGACAGCCATAACTAGCTGTTCACATGCAAAAGGAGGACCGTCAGTCTAACAGTTGTTAGGTGAGGCTAGTTTTGATGTCATCAGCAAACTGGTTGATCCATTATGTGAAGGTGATGCTTATAAGACAGTTTGTTGCAGCTCCTCAGACTGAAGAAGTTTTTTTTGGAGAAAAGACAAAACGTTTCAACAATAATATTCTGATGCATGCTCAATAATCCAGGTAGAAACTAGGGGTGTAAATCACCAGCTTTACCACGACAAGATATTATATTGATTTGTTTGTATGACGATACGATTTTTCTCGATATCACAAAGTCTGTCACGATACGATTTTGATTCTATTCGATTCATAAGTCTGCGATCGATATATTGTGATATCAAATGCCCATCTCATTTACATATAAATAAATTTATAAAAACAATTCAAATATGATTTAATCATTTTATTTCTGTTATTACAGGCACCAGGCATTTAAATAAAAAACATTTTTTCTTAATTAATGAAAAAATTAAAATAAAGGACCTGTTCATTTTAGTCTCACATTTCTCATGTTTAAGTGCATTTTTTTAAACCAGTTAACTTAAAAGTGCCCTGATTACCTTTCACTTATAAAGAAATAAAAATAGATATTGAGCTTAAATAACATGGCTATCAATGCCGTGTTTCTTCTTCAGGTGAACGGACAAATTTGTTGTTTCCTGAGTATTTAACTCCCACTGGCACCTGTTGCATACGACATGAGTTCTGTCTGTTGAGCCGTCCTTCTGTTGGAATCTAAATATTTCCACAGAGTTGATTTCAATCCAGCAGGAGAGAGAAATTCAGTATCTGTGTTTTCTGTCTCGTCTGCCATGTTGCTGAGGTGGCTGCAGAGCACAGCCACGCACGGAAATGGTGACACAGACGTGCCTTGGGAATTTCAAAATAAAAGCGTATTTTAAAGATGACGATATGAATCCATGTTTTAGTTTTGCCACAGTATAATTGAACCATTAATCATTTAATCGATATATCGATTTAAATCGATATATTGTTACGCCCCTAGTAGAAACATATAAAAAAGTAAGTCAGGTCCTCTGGACAGGTTCAGTCCAGAGGACCTGACTTAACCTGGCTAGATTTATCTATCTGGATTATTGAGCAGCATCAGGATTTTTTTTAGAAGTTTCTTTTACTTACAAAGGTTGTTTTTTTTTGCAACCTTTTATAAACTCTGGAAAGTTTTTTTTTTTGGCCTGTGTTTGCTCTTTGTGTGTTGGTATGTTACTGTCTGTTAGCAAAATATTTCATGAAGAACATAAAATAATTTAAGGATACTTGCTGAAAAGTAATCATTGAATATACATCTACAATTTTTGAAGTCAACAATGTATGAAGTCAACCCCTTATTAAACATACCGTATTTTCCGGCGTATAAGTCGCAGTTTTTTAATAGATTTGTCAGTCCTGCGACTTATATACTTTTTTTCCCCATATCCATAATGCAATTTTTGACTGACGCTTTAAATTTTGAAGAACTACAACAGTGAGTCCTCTCATGCGCGCTCGCTTCACTCAGCTGGTGCAGGCGAAGGAACACTGGACAGCTAGTGGCTCCGGCCGCGATGGATGGCGCCGTGCCGCCCAGGCGAAATGAAGCTTTTTTGACCATTAAATTCATTCAACCTTTATTTAGACAGGTTAATCCCATTGAGCCTTAGGGACTCATTTACAAGAGAGACCTGATTTCTTTAACAAAGGGTGATGACAACAGTGGATAACAATGACAACAATAGGCAATCATAAAAGAGGCATACAAATTATTATTTTTTTTTTTTAACAAATTAAAATAAAATGGACAGTCAAATAAATGCATATAAACGCAACGGGTCAGCGGTAACGTGTAATAAGTGCAACTTATATGCTGAAGAAAATGCAGTAGTCACATCAACAAAGCATGCTAAGACTTGAGTTTTAGGAATTGTTCTTATGCTGCATCTTTTAATCCTTTTGTTTTTACTTTCTTCCAGAATTTGACAGACATGAAATTCTCCTGTACGAGGAGGTGGCCAAGGTCCCGCCCTTCAAAAGGAAAACTTTGGTTTTAATTGGTGCTCAGGGTGTTGGCAGGCGTAGACTGAAGACCAAGCTCCTACTGAGGGACCCACAACTCTTTGGTACCACCATTCCATGTAAGCAATCAGAGTCAATCCAGGTTCAGATGACTGCCGCAGATACTCTTCTTATAATTCATTAGCTGTAACTCCGTCAACTTTACAGATATGCTAAAATCTGGTGTGGTAGTAGCTGAGAGTCATTCCCAGTGCACACTTGGAATGTGATCTCATAAGACTGTGCATAATGTGTTCAAGGTTTGACTAAAATAGCAACAACTTTGTAATTTCTCAACATAGGATGATCTTAGTTTGGGGCAGCTGTGGCTGAGTGGTTAGAGCAGTCGTCCTCCAATGCAAAAGTTGGGGGTTCGAATCCACCAGCAGTCACATGCCAAAGTGTCCCTGGGCAAGACACTGAACCCCTCATAGCCTCTGATGTGTGTCCCATAGGTGAATGAATGTGATAAAGCTCTGATTAGTCTCATTAGAATGATTTGTTCAATTAGCTTTGTAGAGATCTAGTATAAAGCTGTATGAATGGGTAAATGAGGACACAGATTGTAGTGTAAAGAGCTTTGAGTATCTGGATCAGATAGAAAGGCGCTGTATAAGTACAGTCCATTTACCATTTAGTTTAACAGTCTTGTATGAAGGTACGGGTGATTTGCATTCCTTCAAGTAATGGTAGGCCCTTGATTTTAAAATGTAACAAACTGCGTTTGTTATAAATGTTTACAAATTTATTTTTAATGAAATGGTTGTGTTGCCTAGAAAATCTGGTTTCTTGAATTTGAACAACTGTGGTGGCTGCCATTAGAGACAGACTGTAGATATTCAAAGACTGTTTTTATGTCTGACTAGATACATCCCGAAAGCCCAAAAAGGGTGAGCGGGAAAGTCGGATGTATGCTTTCACCAGCCGCAGCAAAATGGAGGCTGACATTAAGAACGGGCGTTATCTTGAATACGGAGAATATGAGGGCAACCTGTATGGCCTAAAGGTTGACTCAATACATGAGGTGGTGGAAGCAGGACGCATTTGCATCTTGGACGCCAACCCACAGGTAAGCATACACAACTACCAGTCATTTCAGACCAGTCTCTAGAGATCAATGCACTGGACTGTAGTTTTTTTTTTTTTTTACTTTTTATTTATACAGGTAGTGTCATTGAGTCTTGTGGACTCATTTTCAAGGGAGGCCTGTTGGGCTAGGGCGCCCGGAGGAGCAGATGGTGGGGATTAAGGGTCTTGCTCAAGGGCCCAGAGTGAGGCAAATGAGGGTGGAGGCAGGTACCTTGAGCATGCATCAGAAGGGTGGAGGCAGGTAACTTTTCTAGCCACATTTTGATATAGTTGGTATGGGGAGTCGAACCGGCGACCTTCTGATCACAGGCCCTTCTCTAACCTCTGCGCCACCACTCCCCCACCAATGGGTTGTCCAAGCAATATGTAACTACTGTCAATATCTCTGATTCGATGTTATAAGACAACAAATCAGAGTCAGTCTTCTTTGTGTTGTTCAGTTGACTTTAGGTCATTCCTGTTCGGTGTGAACCTCTTCCAGGTTTTTCAGTTTTTTGTTTGGAAGCTGCCCCACATCCTCAGTCTACATGCTTTCTGAAGAACTCTGTTAAACTGTTGAGTATCACGCTCAGCTCAGAGGTGCATAATCAAATTGTTGTTAATTGCAAACCACCTGTCACGTGGTGAGAAAAAAAACCTAGTGTTAAAACTCTGTATAACACCATTTTTAAAAGGAAATATCTTTTTTTGACAGTTTTAAAGCTGTAGTGAAATGGTTATGTGCAGGTGAAAAGACTACATTAATATTTGATGCAATCTGCTGGTTTCATTGGATAAACAAATTGTACTAATTGGCTTTTTATGTACTACAGTAGTCCCTCGCTACTTCTCAGTTTGTTTTCCACGGACTCGCTCTATGGCGGTTTTTCAAATTAAGATTGGACATGATGCACAATTGGCTGATCGATGGATGAGCCACAAGTTAGGCATGGATTTGTATTTAAAATTACTTATTTTAAATTATTTATCACCTGTGTGCAGTCCACAGCTGTGGGAGAAGTTTCCTCCTACAGCTGATCAGCTGATCTCCTGCAGAGCGGAGAAGTGGGCGTGGCCGAGAGAGCAGCTGGAGGCATGGAGCTGAAATCATAACATGCTGTGCTCTTTTAGATCTTTTAGAGTCGATCCCCAGTCACTGCACATCACGTGGCGTCTCTGGGCAGCACGTCTCATCCCCAAAATGCCCCCCGGGCGCTTTCAATAGCTGCCCACTGCACCACCTGGTGGTGGATGGGTTAAATGCAGAGACTAATTTCGCCATTGTATGGAAACATACAGTGCTGACATTGTGATGACATTATTATTATTATTATTATATATATATGTATATATGGTGACTCATTTACAAGAGCATTTTCTGCACAGCTGCAGAAAGAAAAGCCTTGCAGAGAGTGGTGAAAGCTGCACAGAAGTCTGTTGGAGTCAGTCTCCATCACAGACATCTACACCTCTAGATGCAGGAAGAGCGCCACCTGCATCATGAAGACCTCACTCACCCAGCACACACACTTTTTGTCCCGCTCCCCTCAGGAAGGAGGTTGAGGAGCATTAAGTGTAGAACCACTAGACTGAGGAACAGCTTCTACCCTGAGGCTGTTAGACTCATGAATCTCTAACCAAAATAATCACTGTGAAAAATAACATCATGTTGCTGCTGATCTGTTTCATGTTGCTGTGTTCATGCGTGCTCATCTGCTCACAAAGACTCGTGTTCGTGCTGCTGTTCGACGTAATGTTTTTATGTCATTAGTGTTTAGTGTATTTTTAGTTGATGTTTTTCTTAGTTCATATCTTAGATCTTATTAATGTTTTTCTTTTACATTTTATTGTTGGATAGCTGGGACCCTGTATACATAATTTCGTTATTGACAATAAAGAATCTCTGACTATATATATATATATATATATATATATATATATATATATATATACTAAAATAAGCTACTACTTACTACTTGTACTACTACTTGCGATAAACAAGGGACTACTGTATAAGGAAATGGGGGAGTGGTGGCGCAGAGGTTAGAGAAGGTGGGCCAGTGATCGGAAGGTCGACGGCTCAACTCCCCGGACCGCCAACATCAAAATGTGGGTGGGAAAGATGAAGCACCCACACCTGCCTCCACCCTCATTTGCCCCACTCTGGGCCCTTGAGCAAGGCCCTTAACCCCCACCTTCTGCTCCCCTGGGCACCCAAGATGGCAGCTCTCTGCTCTACAGAGGGCTGTGGTAGCTCTGTGGTCTGTGGTCCTTTGTAGTCCTTTCGTAGTATTAGGGGTCACCAACATTTTCTGAGGGCAAGACTTTTTAAAATAAATTCTGAGAGGGACAGTCCTGAACCCTTGTATTGTCCTTTAACTTTATTCATGTTTCTTAGAGAAAAAATTGACCACCTTATTAAACTTCTTTCCAATACCATCCATCCATCTTTACCTGCTTCTTCCTTTTTGGGTCACGGGGGTCACTGTGAGAGGTCTCCAGTCCATCACAGGGACACATAGAGACAAACAACCATTCACTATTTCTTGTTTATTTCCACTAGAAACTAATCTTAGGTCGTTTTCACACCAGATAGTCCGGTAGACTCGGTTCGGTTCGGGACCAATATTCATGACCTTCTGTTTACATTTGAGCTGGTGCGTTTGCATTCACACTGCACTGTGCAGTCGAGCCAACCTGTTCAAACCAACTGCGCTGGAGTTCTCTTCTACCGGACTGAGACCTAGGTTTTAGCCCGGGCCAGAGTTAGCCTTTTTGTTCCGTGACAGAGTTCGATGGTGCGTTCACACCTCCCTAAACAAACCGGACTTTCTAGGAAAACGAGCTACAGTTCGATTAAAGCGGACTAAACAGGGCTAGTGTGAATGCACCCTTAAACAACAAAGTCCATGCTCAATAATCCAGGTATACAATCCAACATTTTTCAGTCAGGTCATCTGGACAGTTTCTTTTTTTTTTGTGCTGAAACGTTTCACCTTCCATCCAGAAGGCTTCATCAGTCAAGGAAACACACAACACAAGACTGATTCTTCCCCCAAACAGCTTATTCCAAAGTGGAACAAATCAGTTATGTTGGTGCTAAGATGGTCACTTTGGCACGCCCCCTCCTCCGGAGCCGGCCCTCTCCCTCGTCGACAGTCATGTCAAAATGGTTCAAAACCAACAAAATCCATGCTCAACAATCCAGGTATACAATCCAACAATGATGAAGCCTTCTGGATAGAAGGTGAAACATTTCAGCACAAAAAATAAAAAAGAAACTGTCCAGATGACCTGACTGAAAATTGTTGGAGTCTTTTAAACACTTTTAGAACTATCTCATCTTTAATAAAAATACATTTAAATGACTTTAAAAAATGTTAAATAAACCAAAACCTACCGGTAATTTTAACAACTCACTAAAATGAGATATTTTCTCATTTTGAAAGCCCAACAAAACAATTGTTGTGTTTTTGGGGTTCTTGCATTATTGGGACTTTCTAAAGCCAAGCATATGCCAATAAGAAGAAGAAGATGTGATATTTCAGATAAACTGTCCTTTAAATTTAACATTGCCTGTATGTGTTTCCTCCAGTCCCTCAAAGTGCTGCGCACTTCTGAGTTCCTGCCGTATGTGGTGTTCCTTCAGTGTCCAGACTTTGAGGTGCTCAAGGCGATGAATCGTTCAGCTGTGGAGGCAGGCGTCGTCACAAAGACACTGACAGTAGGAGAAAAATCCCCCTTTTCTCTAATTATCCCACAGACTGTGTGCAGGGAAATTAAACTTATGTTTCTGTTGCAGGACGAGGAGCTACAGAAGTCGTGCAATGAGAGTACGAAGATTAAAGCAGCCTACGGTCATTACTTTGACCTCAGCATCGTCAGTGAGAACCTTGATGAGACCTACCGCACCGTCAAAGCTGCTCTGGAAACAGTCTCTAAAAACCCCCAGTGGGTCCCTGTTACCTGGGTGTTTTAGAAACCATTTGGGGAAAAAAGCACTGATAAGAACTTCTTGTGGACATACACAGATAAATACTGGACATTTGTATTTTTCACCATTTATCTTAGACCTCTGACTTTAACAGTGACATCCTGAACAAACTGTATCTATATTGTGTTTGTGAGCACGCTTTCACCAGCCACTTCATGAGGTCCACCTGTTCAGTTTCTGTTTTTAACACAAATTTTTAATGAACCAATTAGGCAGCATCCCAACACTTTAAGCCATCTTAATATGGTGAAGGCATCAGATGCTCCTCAATTGGAGAAGGGTGGATTTTTTTCATTCATTCAACCTTTATTTAGCCAGATAAATCACATTGAGCCTAGAAGACTCATTTACAAGTGAGACATGTTTAGACAGACAAAGTAATGAAACTGGACACATGTAGGAATTGGATTGTTCTTTTCAGGTCAAGGGTGAGGTTCTGCCTCAAGTGGAGAAGTTCCAGTATCTCTTGAGTTTTGTTCACGAGTGAGAGAAGAATGGAGCGTGAGATTGACAGACAGATTGGTGCATCGTCTGCAGTATTCCGGACTCTGTACCGGTCCGTTGTGGTGAAGAGGGAGCTGAGCTGTAAGACAAAGCTCTCTGTTTACCGGTTGGTCTACGTTCCTACCCTCACCTGTGGTCATGAACTCTGGGTAGTGACTGAAAGAATGAGATTGTGGATACAGGAGGTTGAAATGAGTTTCCTCTGCAGGGTAGCTGGACTGTCCCTTAGAGACAGGGTGAGAAGTTCAGTTATCTGGAGAGACTCAGAGTAGAACTGCTGCTCCTCCATATGGAGAGGAGCCAGTTGAGGTGCTTCAGGCATCTGGTAAGGTTGCTCCCTGGGCACCTCCCTAGGGAGGTGCTTGGGGGATGTCCGACTGGGAGGAGACCTTGAAGAAGACCCAGGACATGCGGTAGAGACTATGTCTCTCAGTTGGCCTGGGAACACCTTAGGGTCGTCCCAGAAGAGCTGGAAGAGGTGGCTATGGAAAGAGATGTCTGGACCTCCCTGCTCAAGATGCTGCCCCGAGACCTGACTCCTGAACAATGGAAGATGATGGATGGATGGATGGATGGATGGATGGATGGATGGATGGATGGATGGATGGATGGATGGATGGATGGATGGATGGATGGATGGATGGATGGATGGATGGATGGATAATTGTGGTGAAGGCACCTTGCTGAAGCTTAAACCCTCTAGTTGGGCATGTGTAGTAGATCAGATGTTTCTAAAAATACTCAGAGCAGCTAGTCTGACACCAACAACCAATCCACGTTCAGTCGCCGAAATCCTTCTTCCTCTTTCTGATGCTCGGTTTGAACTTCAACAAGTCGTCTTCCTCTACATGGTGACAGGCATTGCTGCTGTGTGATTGGCTGATTAGCTTTTTGTGTTATCAGGCAATGAGCGGGTGGACCTAGTCATGTGTCCGCTGTGTGTGAGTGCATTTTTTATACAGTCACATTGAAAGGACTAACATCATTTTGGGTGCCAAAGCTGCTTCGGGTTGTATTTAGTTTACAGTGCAGATGTGTTTTCTGGTGCAGGTTAGTCCATGTAAAGTCCTCTCAGCATGCATGTCCCCACAAATTCCAAACTTCAGTCTGTTTTTAAATTATTGTGCCATTTCTGATCATTTGTTGATATGTAACAAACAAGATCAACTGTCATGGCCACGTTTTAATGAGTAAGCTATGTTACAAAAAAGCTTGTCGATTATCAGACACTTAACATAGGTTATGGGGTTCATTTGGATATAAAAGAACATTTCCAGTTCATAAGAATAATTTTTTACTGCCTTTTAAAAGAAAAATGATTAGTATTTAAATGTAACAATATAGAGCAGTAAACCTATTTGTTTCTGCAGTAAACTCAGTGTTTACGTTTTGTTTTGTAACTTGATGTTATGATCTGGGGTTATCTCCTTCACATTTGTGAACACTTATTTAGTCTTTTGGTACAATAATACACACTAAGGTACTTCAAGACAAAATTAAACAAGTGTACAAAAAGTAATGAAGCTAAATAAGTTCATTGTTATTACATTACATTCTTCATGCATGTCTGTTCGCTCTGTTGACCTCTGAAGAAGAGAGCAGCCAAAAGAAAAAGAATGTACTTTTTTTTTACAAAATGAATCAAAGCCTCATTTAGAACCAGACTGAAAGTTTCAATAAAAACAACAGTGAGTACCATCTTAAAGGCTCAGAAAGATACAGATTTATTCCAAAAAGATCTAACATAATTCAACTACCGGTCCTCACTCCAACCACCCCCATGTCTCTAACTGCATCCATACATCTCCTCTTTGTCTTTTTCCTGGCAGCTGCATTTCTGACATCCTTCTACCAGTATACCCACTGTCCCTCCTCTGGACATGTCCAAACCACTGTCCCTCCTCTGGACATGTTCAGACCACTGTCCCTCCTCTG